GACCAATTCAACTTCCTCTACCGTTATAACTAAGGCAGAACAATATTACATGTTTCAAAGGGCCACCTTCCAGAACACACTAGTTATTCATCATCTATTACTGCTTATTCCGTGACGTAAGCCATTTCCTAAGCATCATTAAAGCCGTCTCCCACCTTCTCTCTCTGCTTATAATTGGTCTTATTTTCTTCACAGGATTTGTCGTTATCCACAAACATCTTACTTGCTCACAGGTAAGCCCATGAGGGTGGAGGCTCCAGGAGATGGGGGATCGTGTTCAAAGCATCCTCAGCACCTGGCACATAGCAGGCGTTCTCTTGGTGAATAACTGAACGGTTACATTCATGTGCATAATCTAGGTCTCGGCCATTCATCTGTAATTACTGACGTGTTTACCTCTAGCTACTCGAACTTAAAGCTACTACAGGCTTCCTGACTTTGGCAGGTGCTTCACCTATCTTGGTTTTGTCATCTGTCTAATGGAGCTAATGACGGTAACTGATTTCCAGGGTTATTAGGAGAATCAAGTGAATTAATTCATCACATCGATCAGTTCGGAAGGGCCTGACACATGGTTTGTCGTCCTATAAGTACCAGTCACAGATTAAGTATTAAACTGTAACCTTTTCGTTTACTCCCTTTTTATTAAGGACTATTTCAAACATTTATACAAGTAGGGAACTGTATAATGAATCCCCAGGCACCCATCACCCAGTTTTATAAATTATTAGTGTATGGCCGCTGTCACATTTATGTCCTTTACTCTTCTAGACGGAAGAAACTTTGAAGAGTATAATCTGAAATTAGCGATATCCTGGGTGTTGTAAACTAAAGCTAAGAATCACTGCTGTGATAATATGTGACACAAGTATTTTCATTTCTGTGAGAAATCACTTCATTTGATTATTAATGGGAATCGGGTAACTCTGGTTCCCAGGGCTGTGTCACAATCACGACACTCATGCTGCTGTCTGGCGTGTGACAAAGCACAGATGCGCGGCCCCGCCCTTCCTGCCTCCGTCCCACACCCCCGGGCTGGGCCGAACAGAAAGCGGACTGTCCTGGCTACACGGAAGGCCAGAAGGGACAGCTGGAAGCTTCACACAGACTGAGCAGGATCAGTGAGCTCTAACTGCTTCCAGAACGTAACAGGAAAACTCTCAACCTTCCTAATCTCTGTCCTCTACAACCGCTTACAGCGAAGGTCCCTCTGTCCACCCTCTGGAACTCCCCAGGGTTAAGTTTTAGAGGGATGGAGGCCGGAGAAGTCCTCCTGTGGTGACGGGAGGCCACGGTGGGTTTCTCTTGAGCTAAATCCCTTTCAGACCTGTCCTTGAGGACCCCAGGGCTTGGCGGGGCTGGAGCAGAAGCACGGGGCCCACGCAGGTGCATTCTGGAACGGCCGCCAGCGGGCCATCAGGGTGACTTGTGACAGCTTCCGCACAGGTACTGGCGCCCTCCAGCGCAGCAGCGTCTGACAGAGCTCTCTGAAGTGACGGAAGTGTTCTCGGACGCTGTCTGCGAGCCACGTGCGGCTTCTGAGCCCTTGCAATGTGGCAGTGTGGCTGACAGACTAGGTAATTAGTTCTATGTAATTTTAATTAGTTTCAGCTCAAACGGTCCTATGTGGCTAAGAGACACCGATGCAGCTTTAGAGGATGCCCTTCGGAAAATGTTCAAGACGTCGATGACGAAACACACCGGCTTATGAATTTGTTCCAAAAACTATACATTTAGCAGTAAAAATAAATTACGAGTTGTTTAATTGTGCTTTGCCTGATTTTGAACAGTAGGACTAAAATAAACAGAATCACTATTAAAAGGCCCTATGACAAGCTATCTTATTTCACGCGCTCATTATATACATTTAATCATATAGTAAAACTTACAAAATCAGATTCTTCAGGTCAGAGGAGTAGTTGATTGTCACCAGTTCCATGGCTTTCTGTAAATTCTCTCGCTGGATTCCTGCCAAAGAGTTGCAAGCCAAAGCCAACACAACTTTTCCTAACGATATCAGATCTGCTTGCTGACATGAAAGAATAAATATAACTTTTAATTTTTATTTTATAGGTACAGACGTAACACACTGACACTATTGCCCGCAGGGCCCGGCACAGGCCTCGGCCCGAGCCCAACGGGCCGATTCCGAGCCCCCCGCCCGCACCCCTGTGGTAGGTCCGCGGCCTCTACGGCACCCGGCGACTCGATGAAGGCCGCACCAGACCAGCGTGGAGAGAAGCCACTCCAAGCGATGCGAATGCCCAATACAGAGCTGCGGCCTCACAAACCTCTTTTAATTTTTATTTAAATAGAACTGATCTTATTATTATTACGAGAAACTGAGGACTGGTTACTATAGACTTCCTTTACTGTGATAGTTACACCTGTGATATACGCTTTTCTCATTTTCCATGATGCCTAAAACACAGTGCAGTTTGGAGAATTACTTGAAAAAAGTTACTCCATTATCTCAAACACGACATCAGCGGCCCCGACGCTGGAGAATGTTCTAGAACACTGAGAACACTGACACCCCCAGGACACGCCGTCCGTCAGGGCTGTGCAGGGGACCTCCTAGTCTGTGCCCACCTGGCCTCCTGCCTTTTTTTTTTTTTTCCAAGATTTACCACTCTGAGGTTTTCCTTCTGAAGGATTTCTAGAAGACAGCGGGTTGGACTGAGGTCGGCTCTCATTACCTATTACAAACTGGATCCAGCAAACAAAACAGTTGCCCCAAGGCCCTGCTTGGCAGGTGACTATTAATGAGCACGACCTGGGAGAACGGAACAGCTCAGAATCGAATGGAACCGTCTGAAGGACCTTCTGCAGAAAACGTCCATAATCTTCAAAAGCCCATGTCTTATCTGAATTGCTGCATACGCGTTCATTTACTGAACGCTGATTTGGTATAAGGAGTTTTCAAACCTAGCTACACATTAAAATTGTCCGAGGAGCTGAAGAAACACCAGAAAAAGTACCGCTGGCCATCCAGCCCCTCATCCCAGGCCTGGTGTTAGTCTGTGGTTAATTCGCGGGGTTGGTATTTTCCAGTTTCCACAAGAGATTCTGAAATGCGGCCAGGGTTGAGAACCTGTGCTTTGTGGAATGTTTGTAAACGGTGTATCTGTGAAATCAGGTGAGTACTTCCAGGCAATCGCTAATGAAACTTTACCAATATACGGCTACCCTTCACGACATTCTATCCAAATAATGAAGTATGAGCAAGTCCAACTCCAGGACTAAAACAACATGGCAAAGTTCAAATCAGACATTTATCCCAAACTCGCATGTGTGGATCTGACACTTAGAACATGAGAGCCAACGGTCAGGGGAAAATCACTGCATTCATCAGGACAACAGATGCCTAGGGTTCCCATCAGGGAAACTTTCAAACTGCACGACAGGGGCAGGGCGGGAGGTGGCGTGCGAGGGGCAGGCACTGCGGCCACCGCTTGCTTTCTGGAAGGCACGGTCACGAATGAACGCAAGGAGGGTGCCCTCCGTGTTCTCGAGATCAAGTAAAACATTCCAAGTTACATTAATGAAATCGTAAAAATGGTGGTCAAGAGAAATCAGTGCACGTAACCGCTAACTGGAAATTCCTACCGGCGCTGCGATCCGACGTCATCGGCAGAGCACACCGATGGCGGCACCCGTCAGACACCTGAGTGGCGTGCACCGGCACGCAGCCGCCCAGGCCTTAAAACGGAGGGATTTTCAGTTCAGCGCCAACCTACACTGGTGCTGTAACTGAATCCCCTACTAGAAACACCCCTATTATTCCCCATCATGAGACAGGAAAACAAAAGTCCAAGACAGCTGAAGGACTGAATGGGTTTAAAAAATAAGAACATCTAATTTGGGTACCACCCACCACCTTCCCAAAGCTGACTACAGGTGGGAATACCAACTTTTAAAAATAAAATAGACACGTCACATAATCCAGATCAAATTAGAACTGATCTTTAAAAAGAGGTCAATCAAGTCCCACTTAAGAGTGTTTAACATCGCAAAAACTCAGGCGCTCTCCTCGCTTCCCTGCTGAGGAATTTTCCATTTGTTATTTTGCTTCTTACCTCCAACTGGTTTTTTCCCCCCATTTGCTGAATTCTGGAGGTTTTCCCCCCAACTCATTTTCAGTTTCTTCCTCATTCTTGAGTTCTTGATTTTTCTGAGTCTATCTATGGCTCTACTTATGTCCATTTTACTGAAAGTCAGTCTCTATTCACGTGTCTGAAACAGACTATGAAAAATAGACTACAAGACACAACATGTTCCTTCCCCCGTGCCCGCTTCGTGACTCGCAATCCCCCCCTCCCCGGGTGGCGCTATCTCCACTCTCTCCTTTATCCTATTAGCTATATGGAAAATCTCCCCCCACACATGTGCCCACCCCCGGAAAAGAAAGAAAGAAAAACCTGATCTATCTTTTACTGTTGAAAAATAAAGAGAAGGTGACAGTGGGCTGGAAGTAGCCTGCATTTATGAATGAAAGCGGCCGCTAGGTTACCAACCAGCCCCCCCGCAAATGCCTGCTTAAAAGCTGTTTGTTTAGAACCCTGGGATTACTTTTTCTTATGAAGAATTTTTTTCAAGGTAACTACACAACCCATAACCAAAGTAATGTACATTTGCAGAGAAAAAATGGGAAACAATACTGCTGAGACAGAGAAAAAAAAAATCAAACTAATCTTTCTCTTTTACTAGTAATTAAAATACAAAGGAACTCTTCACATAGAGAATAAAGATACTGTAAGGCTGTTTTTAAAGGTGGACATGGGATTTCGAGATATTTGCAACAGAGGCTGATGGCACTGATTCTAAATAATGTCGAGTTTCTCTTCAAAAATTCAGTATTATTTACTTGGATATATGAAGAAGATCACTAGTATTTTAACAATCAATAATCAGTCCCTTTTAACAGCACAAAGATTATTAAAAAAACTGTCAAAGCCAATTAGTCAATAACTCTACGACAGAGATAAGAAGGGAAGTAGCTGGGAAACAAGCACCCTAGGTAAGAAAGGGGCAAATCTCCTCCGGCAGGAGCAGGTGCTGCTGGGAAAGCAGTCAGACCCCTGTCTGCAGTGCCCACCAGGTGGCGCTACCAACCAGGACAGCTTGGCTGAGGCAAGGACAGGTGGGCGCAAGCAGAGGGGGAGACGTGAAGCCTGCAGACCCATCTTGGCCATTGTAAATAATGCTACAGGGAGCACAGGGGTGCATCTATCTTTTCAAATTAAGTGTTTTTCCTTTTCTTTGGATAAATGCCCAGAAGCGAAACTGCTGGGTCATAGGATATATCCATTTTTTTCCTGAGGAATCTCCAGTTTTCCACAGGCGTGGCACCAGTTTGCAGTGCCACCAACAGCGCACGAAGCCCCCTTTTCTCCTCGTCCTCGCCAGCGCAGGCTGTTTGTTGACTTTTTGACAACAGCCATTCTGACTGGTGTGAGGTGACATCTCGCTGTGGTGTTGATTTGCATTTCCCTGATGATTAGTGATGTTGAACATCTTTTCATGTCTGCTGGCCATGTGAATGTCTTCTGAGAAATGTCTTTTCATATCCTCTGCCTATTTTTTGATCGAATTATTTAATTTTCTGTTATTGAGTTGTATGAGTTTTCTTAATATATTTTGGATATCAACCCCTTACTGAATATATCATTTGCGATTATATTCTCCCATTCAGTGGGTCGCCTTTTTTGTTTTGTTGAAGGTTTCCTTTGCTGTACAGAACTTTTTAGTTTGATGTAGTCCCATGTGTTTATTTTTGTTTTTGTTTTCCTTTTCGAGGTGACGTGTCCAAAAAGCTAACACTTAACGTTCTTTGCAGAAACAGGTTCTTACTCTCCTACATCTCCGATCAATCAAAAAATAATAAATAGCTGAGAACACGATGGGGCCTAAAGCCACACTATTATTTTGAAATCAGATAGCCAAATTCTGATAATGTATAAGGAGTGAGTGAGGCTTTGATTAAACAAAAGAAAAAATTATTTCGAAAATGGCAATACAACACTATTCCTTTGAAAATATTTAATATATTCAGATTGGTAGTGGGACAACTGTTCTAATAAAAGTAAACAGGCGTGACAGGTGTGTTTATAATATATTAAAGAAGTGAAAAAAGTAAAATCGCATTTAATCTAACTCATTCAGCTGACCAATGAATGTTTTAATCTCTGCTGAGAACAAATTTCCTAATCGCATAAACACATTTGCATCTGAACAGCTAGAATCTGACCCTGTCATCAACCCTATACATTCCAACTTGTTAGGGCTCCAGACACCTCTCAGTGACTAAGAAATAATGTTCAAACTTTGCAGAGACCACCCAGACTGAAAACCCTGAAGTATTTTAAACAAAATTCGTCAAAAAAAAAAAAAAGCCCTAAGTTATTAAGTAGTCATGTTAATTCTTACTCACCTGGTATTGAGCCATTAATGCCAACGGATTATTATTCTGACTGTTATCAAATGTTAAAACATCAAACACTCCAACACAATTTACTCGCAACCTTTAAAGACCAGAGAATTTAAAGAAAATAATTAACATGAGATTTTAAAATTATACAATAGTGGAAATTTAACATTTCCTAAGTATCTGGAAGGACCTCAGAATATTATCTACTCTAACCTCCTCTCCTACCCCCATATCATCTCTACAAACCACCATTTTAGAAATGAGGAAATTAAAGCTCGCAGATCTCAAGTGGCAGACCTGAGGTTACAAGTCAAGGACTGACTCAGACCTCTGACTGCCAGGCCAAGGGCCTTTCACGGCACCAAGCTGCTGCCCTGTTAGTCACTCACGAAAAGAATAAAGCTGCTTTATTCTTGGTAAGTTAGTCACTCCTGAAAGAGAACCAGGTAGCTTCCTAGCATTTGCTGAGGACGTGCTAGACATCGCTCAAAGCACTTGACACGTGCCGACTCATTCTACCCCCTCAACAGTCTCCTGAGACGGGTACCGCGCAAATGTGGGCAACAGAGATAATGAGTGTCTGACACGCAGGATCACAGGGACAGTAACCAGCAGGGCCAGGGCGTGAACCCGGTCCCCCGCACTAGACCCTGTGGACCTTATGCTACGCGGCCCCAGACGGTTCTCAGAATCACAGCGACTCAAGCGGAACCACTAAGTCAAGGTCTGCGCACTTCGCTCTCTGCCAGCGGCTCTCAAAGCCGGGACGAGCAGCAGCTGTGGCTTCCCCTGGGACTGGTTACGAATGCACGTTCTCAGGCCCCACTCCGGATTCACCGGCTGAGAACTCAATCTGTGCTCAGTGAGCCACCAGGTAATTCTGAGTCACGCTAACCCCTGAGAAGCACAGTGGTACACAGAAAGTCGTACTGACGCTACTTCTATGTCTCCTAACCACGCACACCTCCCAAACCCTTAAAGATCCTTGGTGAATAACTAGGCGTTTTACTAAGGATTCAACATTTTTTTTAAACTTACAAATGAACTCATAGTCACAGCGGTTCTTCTGGATGGAATATATGAAAAGGCAGAATTAAAACAAATCATCATTAGATGCTCAGTGAAGAAGCCAAAACGCAAAATGCTAGTACCTCGTCTTGCCAGTTATCAGGATCTTCGTTGGGTCCATGACGCGACAGGCCAAACCTGCCGTGTGAATGGTGCGCAACGCAGAACTCAGCTGGACGATATACGCCCAGATGAGCGACTCCGGCAACAAGCCCGCATGCTGTCTGGGCAGAGGCCCGTCATGCTGACCTATGAAGGGGGTGGGAAAGAAAAAAAAGGCATCCTCATTTAACTAATCAACCAAAAGATTAAAACATCCAAACCAAAATTAACAGACAAAATTTATTTATCTTCATGACGCGATTTGCCAATTTACACGTGTGTGTATGCATATACATACATACATACACACATACATGTATGTATGTATGTGTGTATGTATGTATGTATGTATGTATGTATATAGATATTATTTTCAAGTTTCATCTATTAGTAAGAATTTAAGATGAGCCCAAAACATCCTGTTCAGGAGATCCCACCTTCACGAGCCTGAACAGCGGAGCTCTCAATGAACCCCCCTCTTCCGTGACCATTGTCATTATTGAACAATAAAAATTTGAAGACTTTGTTTAATTGTGAACCAAGAATATATAAATTCTGATTAAAAACGGGAACTGCAGAGACTGTTCTTTGACTTAAAAGGGGGATGATCCAGCCTATGTCGCCATCCGCGCACGTGAGGCCTGCTCGCCCTGCGGGCCGAGGGAAATGGAGGTGTCTACCGCCCTTTCTACAGAACACGCCTTCTCACTCCTCCGCTCACAGCCAGGCAGTTAGAGAGAACATCCGATTCGAGAGCACATAAGTGTAAAGCTCTGAAAGTCACTCATGTGCAATGATGAAACACAAAAATACCCTGGTCCGCCGCGGGAAGCAGTCATCTTGATCCTATCAACTCTCATAATGCTTCCTGATACGATTTCCTGGGTTATTTTTAACCCTCAAATCTGAGCAGTCACATAAATCGAACCCAGGTTTTGTACAGTAGCCCCCTTATTTGTAGTTTCGCTTTCCATACTTTCTGGTACCTGTGGTCAACCGCAGTTCAAAAATACTAAATTGCCTCAACCATTGACATCGTCTGCTCCTGACATCCAGCCATCGACATCGTCGTGGCTCGATGACCCAGGGTCTCCCAAAGCAGATGACTCTCCTTCTCATGCATCTTCAGGTTGACAGTAGCCTAACGCTACGTCACAATGCCTACGTCATCCACTTCACCTCACCTAACCATGTAGGAACTGAATCATCCCACAGTATCATAAGAAGGGTCAGCATAATCAGATATTTTGAGAGACTACGTTCACATAATTTTTATTACAGTATGTTGTTATATAATTGTTCTATTTTTATGGTTGTTGTTAATCTCTTTCTGTGCCTAATTTATAAATTAAACTTACCATAGCCATGTACGTATAGGGAAAAACAGTATATACAGGGTTCGTGACTATCCACTTTCGAGCATCCACTGGGGGTCCTGGAACGTATCCCCCGCGGATAAAGGGGGACCGCTGTATTTCAGAAAATAGAACCTTATAGATCCACGTGTTCATGTGGTTGTAAACAAACCTTTTGTGAATCGGGTCTAAAAGCAACACAGTTAAGTGGTTAATTGCGGAGATAATACACAGCAAACAGGCGCCGATGGCTTGAGATACAATTACCAAGAAAAAGCAAATACAAAATACAAAAACTGCTATCCCTCAAAACTGAACATGGAATCTGGAAAACAGTGTCAGATGACTCAAAAACTGGCTCTAGTGATAAATGCCAAGACAATGTCAAAGATGACTATGAAGAATTTAATGAAACTATTTAATAAATGTGCCGGATTCGGTCTTAAAGTTACCCACATTTTCTCATTTTAAACTTCTTATCACAGCCTCTATGTGGTATGATATTATTATTATTCCCGTTTTCTAAATTAGAATATTTCTTATGCAATTTTTTGTGCAAAGTTAATAAATTAAATAGTATAAGGAAACAGGCTTTCATCTATATCTGTATGAGTTTATACAAACACTGGCTATTTTTTTCTTTAATATTCACATAGAAAATAGGATTGCCTTGTATTAAAAGTTGCTGTAAAATATGTATAGCATGGTTTAGGAAAAGTTACTACCATTCAAACAATACTTTCAAATATTAGAAAAAAGACTGATTCCTGTGAAAATGTAATCATACATAAACAATCAGTCAACACCAAAAACAGAATAATTAAGATTTTTAAAAGCTGAAAAGGAATGCTATAAATCAACAGGGGTCAATTTTTTCCCCCTAGGGGACATCTGGCAATGTCTGGAGACATTTTTGGTGTCCCAACTGGGGGAAGAAGGTGCTACTAGCATCTAGTGGGTAGAGGCCGGGACGCTGCTAAATACCCTGCAAGGCCCAGGACGGTCCCCACGAAAATAACTATACAGCCCCAAATGTCAACGAGGCTGAGGTTGAGAAACCCAGCTATAAATTACAGCCAACAGTCATTTCACAGGTGGGATTACTAAAATAACTTTGAACTACTACAGCTATACTCATCTGTAAAAGTCATACTCCATCTCTTTCAGCAAAATTATGTATGCATCTAGAGATGACATGGCAGAAAGAAAAAAGTGACCACACTGTATGACCAGATTTTCAACGTGAAACGGCCATGTAACCACAGTTCGCTTCTTTCAACCGTCAAAAGGCAAAGTCACGAGTAAACAGAAGTGGTATTTCTGTCCAGGATCAGTCCTTAAAGGAGTCAGCATCCAGAAGAAAGCATCGTGTGGACTCGAGTCCTTCTCCCTCTCTGGTTTCTCTCAGTACGTATTCAAGAAAAGCTTTACAGCATTAAAAGTCACGTAAAGAATGCAATGCATCTGTCCTGCCCCCAAACAAGAAAATGATACATGCCTTTCCCCTCCCCAAATACACAGATTAACAGATATCTCCAAATGAATTTACTTATACTCTGAGATGATTTACCCTCTAATAAACTTGTGTTAGACTATAATTAAAATATTTTGGTTCCTTGCAATAACTGAACTATATGTCAATTCTTTAAACATGAGGAAGGGGCAAAAAAAGAAAATACTCTCCATTTAAATAAAAGTTACATGAAAATTTTTCCTGAAGACTAATTCCTTTAGTGACATGGAAACTTTCCTTTAAACAAAAGCATCTATTTAGCGAAATAATTTCATAAATGATATGTGGTCACACTGGACTCTGAGGAAGTCACTAAATTACATTCAGAAAATATAAAAAATAAGGGGAAATTGTTTATAATAAATTCAAAAATGCAATAGGATTTAGAATAAAATAAAATAAAGAGAACAATGGAAAAGGAAACCAAACCAAACCAAACCAAACCACCAAGACTAGTGAGGCGTACACCAAGGGATTCACAATGGCTGTGTTTTGCGTGGTGAAGCTACAGGGGTTATTTTTCAATTTACGGAATTTTCCCAATTATCTCTATTCAGAAAGAATTATATTTTTAAAGAAAACAGTTCTTAAGAGGGTAAATCTTTTATCATATTATATTGTTTTTTAAATTTCGGATCCTACAGGAGTCTTTCGCAACCCATCTTCGCCTCGGTCTATGCACGTGATCCATTATTTCCTAACTGGTTACACACACCCCACTTCTTTAAGGCGTGTCTTTTGAAAATGCGACAGGGTCTTTAAGCTGAATGACTACAGGGATGAGTTCGCATGTATTTCCAAATACAAAGCTGCTCTTCCACAGAGCAAAAACACTGATCAAAATACAGCTGGCTTGCATCTCTTTCTTACCCCACTTTCTCTTTGTGAAATAGGCGTCAGCGTTAGGGTCATTAAAGTGTCTGCTCATCAGAGTTTCTCCTCCAGCATGGAAATCATATGCAAACACAAGAGCTTAAAACAAAACACAAACACTCATTACTGCGATCCGGCTTCCAACAGCAAGGCCCACAAGCAGAAGGACAGTTACGAATTACTCACAAGGCTCTGCAAATGCTTTAGTGGTAAATACCTCACGCAAGGTTACAATATTTGAGTGCTGAATTTTTTTCCACATGTCGACCAATACCATGCACTTTGTGTTAACAAGACGAAAACCTGAAAAAGAAAAATGTTTCCACTAAACTGTAAATGCCATCTCCTCCTTATTCCATAAGAGGTGTGAATAAAAAGCCACGTTATATACATCACTTACGAGATACTAATTTCCAAACGAAACCATACATTTATTTATTATCCTTTCAATTCATACATTAAATTTATTCAGGAATGTCTGAATAATCTTAGCCTCAATAATACGCTTCTAAAGAGGATAATTTATCTTCCTTACCATGAATCCTCCGAAGGCAGTATGGCAGATCATCTTTGCTATTTACGGCTTTGTAGCAAGATGTAATGTATCCAAAATTACTTGATTTCTGTATCCGGTTGGGTGGTGGCAGTGGTTCTAGAGGGAACAGGCTATGGTAGCTGTCAACTTCTGTGGGGACTGCTAGAGTGATTCACAGGGAGATGACTTTTAACTTGCAGGCATGCATAAATCTCTCAGAGTAATACAAAAGAAATCAAATCTACAAACCACTGGTATTAAAACACACTTGTATCAAAGAACAGTGTCAACATTCATAACGATCCTATAAAACAAACTGGCTTCGCCATCAATAAAATAGTCATTATAAAACAACCAAAGAACAGTTAGATTTCATACACTCTAAAGTATGTCTTTTACAGCACAATAAAACAAACATTAGAAACAATTTATCACTTAGACATTAAACATTCCTGATTCTGATGCTGAATAAAATCAAGACAGATTTTGTTTCTCCAACATTTTATCTTGTATAAAACATATTTAGACAATGGCGCTAAGCTATGAATTCTTGTTTTGAAAGCATAAAGATATTCATTCAGTGAAAAAGCATAGTTTTAATCTCTAGCAAAATATAAAAGAAAAAAATTCTAAAATAACTTTACCGCCATGCCTGCCATGTTCCTCAAAGAAAGGAAAATTATGTTTAAGGAAATGCAATGCATTGGGATTTGCTCATGATACTCTGATAGGCATTAAAAACTGTTTAACTTGAATCCCAATTTGTTGTTTTTTATAAAAACCAGAAAGTTATATGGGAAAATGTATTCAGTGGTTGGCTTCTCTACAGAGTACAGGCAATTTATTTCCCCTTCTTTATTGCTCCCTATTTTCTAGAAAAAACATGTATGAGTTTTACAACCCAAAAAGACAAGTAATTTTTTAATGCTTCAAATACAACCAACTGTATTTTCCAATCGGACAGCTTCCAATTCATTCAATATCTTGATTGACTTAGGAACACCCAAGATATTTCAAGTGAAAGCAGATGAGTGAACATGCAGGTTATGAACAGAAATCCTTCTAGAAAGGACCATGGCGGAACTTTCACGGTGACCGCTGGCTGGGAGGGTTCTGTCCCCTCTTCTCTACACTATCCTGTGCTTGCCAAACTTTTACCACAGACGTGTTTAACACTAATCTTAAAACATGGCAATAAATCTTAAAAAAAAAAAACTCACAAATTGGTAATTTTTGACCTATAACCGTTGAGAAATGCAGGTGGAACCCAACTGGGAAAACTCTGATTCCAGGAGACAGGTTCAAAAGGACCCCTCAAATACTCACACTCATTGCTCCTAGTTCTCGAAGCGACTGGAGAGAGGAGTCGCTAGCTCATAAATAAGTGGCTCTCCTGTGGGGCAAGGGAGGGGATGCAAACCCAGGCTCTGGTTCCACAGTCTTGTGCTTCTGACCCCTGGGGGCGTTTTGGTCACAGCATAAAAGCGATTGAGAGTAGCTTCTAACCAAGGTCAAGTGCCACATTCTACTGAAATGAAGGCGATATAAGGGAACTAGACCCACAAGCGAATAGAGCTTAAGTTCTGCCCATTTATTATTGATTTGAATGATCAGTGTAATATCCACAAATGATAGATTTTGTTTCCCAGCTATTCCATAAGGGAAGTCATTAATTTCAAATTAGTAAAAATGTATCAAGTATCTACCACGTTACTGAGCCCACGGTGATGAAATGTGGGTTCTTATCTAGAGGCTTCGAGATTCATATAAAACATAGTACGAGGCGAAATGGCTATTAAAAAAGCACAACCTGCCATGGCACTGGTTCCCAACCTTTCGCTCCCTGGGGACCTCCTAGCGGTCCCGAAGCCCGTCTGCGGGCCCAGCCGGCATCTGGTTCTGCAGGTCTCACGTGGGGGCCAAGAACTGCAACTCCGCCAAGCCCCAGGGGTGATGGAAAGGTGCGCTGGGGTCAGGACCTGCTTCTGAGAGCCACTACCCGTGGAGGCCCAGAGAAGGAGCCTCTTGAGGACATCAGGAAAGGTCTCCCGGAAGACCTGAGGCTGCTTTCTCTGAGCTCTGACGAGTGCGAGGCGCCGTCCAGGAACAGTGACACCTCACGGGGTGACACAGGGAGCACGCATGTGGACCGCACAGGACGTGCAGGGGGTAGATGGAGCTGAGAGGCAGGTGGGGTTAAAGCGGAGGGCAATTTCAATGCCACACTAAGGACCTGGAATTCACTATGGCAAGCAGTGGACTCATGACATCCGTGTGACGAAGAGATCGTGTGAGGGACACGAGCAACTAAAAACCTTAACTCTTAACTTGATCGTCCCTGGGTTTACTTTGAAGCAGATCACGCTGAATTCCATACGCTGCGGGGGGAAACCCATCATCCAAAGCAGCGGTCCCCAACCTTCCTGGCACTAGGGACCAGTGCTCCCATGAGAATCTGACGCCTGAGGACCTGAGGCGGAGCTGAGGCGGTGATGCTGGCTCTGGGGAGCAGCTGCAGACACAGATGGAGCTTCTCTCTCCGGCCCGCCGCTCCCCTCCTGCTGTGCGGCCCGGTTCCTGACAGGCCACGACCTTTGGCCTTCCTTGTTTCTCTTCCTTTTTCATACAGTTTTATGACATCTGTATGTACCCCTGAAAAGTTTATTGTGTACGTGCATGCTTATGCATGTATGTGCATATGAACATGTATTTGCAGAAATGTAAGTAAATATAAATTTTAGTGAACGTTACAAAAAGGTATCGTGCTGTGCGTTGTGGCTTTTTTACTTAGTATTCCATTACTAAGACCCTTCTGTAGCGCGGCAGGTCAGGGCACCTTCTCCACTGAACCCGCTGCATCCTGTTCCACTGTCTGGCACGATCATGGCTACATCATCCCGTCCTTCAGATGGGCGCCGGGACTGACCGAGGTTTCTGCTACTGCGAACAGCGACATTAACAGATACTTGGCACACTTGCGGCTGAAGGTGTGCAGGCGTGTACCTACACCCAGGAGCAGGACTGCTGGATCACGGGGTAGGTACAGATATTCGACTCCGGTTTTCCCAAGTGCTAACAGGTTCGCCGACTTATACCACCAACAGCAGTGTAGTGGAGACCCACGGGCAGTGTACATGGTCAGGCTTCAAAACAGGGTTCTATTTGTATTTCCCTAATCATCAGTGACCTTCAACATCTCTTCTCACATTTATGGATCATATAAATTTCCATTTTCTTGAAACGCCGACTCCTATCCTTTGGGTCATTTATTGGATTGTTTAGGCTCTTGCTGATTTGTGTTTTTTATATTCTTTGCCAGCTGTGTAAGTATCTTCTTACAAGTTTCTTTACTACAGGTATCTCTGGATTGTTTTAAGTTTTAATTTGGTGGAACTTCCCAGTATTTTCTTTAAGAGTCTACAATCTTTGCATT